TCTCAGGAATACTATTATTAGTCAGCAATTCATTAGACGTGAATCCATTGGAAGAAGTAGTAAAGACACGGACAGTGATCTGAGTCAAGTAAGCGGTTCCTTATCTTCGCTCTCCATTAATAAGACACAAAATAGAAGACAAAAACCCGAATATAAGCGACAGAAGAGTTATTCATTTATTAATAATTTGACACAAATGTTGATATTTGCTGTCTTTGTGTTAATATTATTCTGTTTCGTAATAATGCTTTCACTGCCACTTGTCTTCAGGACATCATTTGACTTGAATTCAATGAATTTTCAACTCTCTATTCAAAGTGTGCCTCAAAATGATGTTTGCATTAAATAACCGGATTTACAATAATTCGTTTTAATTGTTATTTTTCTTTATTGTATTATTTATGAAAAATCATGTATTTTTAGTGTATCACCAAAAAAGAGTCAATCATTTTAGAGCTTCTGCTCGTCATCCCCGACACAAAACCTAAGAGGCATTCGTTTGATACCTGTCTCACAGTTTTCGTACAACATTTTGCAGTGATTTAGATATACTTTCCCATCAGAACTATAAATGTTACACAAAATTACACATTAATCAAGATTATTTTCGTTTTATATGATTATTGTTAATTACCCACAAACGGGATCATAATAACGGTTCGTAACAAGATAATTTACGTTTAACACAAGTGTTAATAAAATATACTATAGCTTTATTAATAGAATTAACGTTTTATAAACATAGTTACTACCGTATGGGCCTGTTGACATTATGTTTTCCAAATGTATAAATAAATTACTTTGAAAACAAGTTTTTATTTCATGTGATAATCAAAGTGAATCTCTAACCTGGATATTTTGACGCATTGATTCATTGGCACCACTTTTACTTCTTTGCTACAATGAGATGTGACTTAAGATATAATTTATCAGTTTTGGTGCACGAAATGTGAGGCATACTCGCAGTTCATTTGTCTCATCTGGCATTCATTCAAATAGATTTGTCCATCGGTTCCGCAAACGGGTTTTGGGAATTCCAGGCATGTCTTCGGACACCTTTCCAACGCTCGCCCCTCTGAAGCATTCAATTCACACATTAAATGGTTGAATNTCTGGCATTCATTCAAATAGATTTGTCCATCGGTTCCGCAAACGGGTTTTGGGAATTCCAGGCATGTCTTCGGACACCTTTCCAACGCTCGCCCCTCTGAAGCATTCAATTCACACATTAAATGGTTGAATAGAAACTAAATAATGAAAGTATTTTCCTAATAATTGACAATAACTACTAAATATAGTGCATTAATTGGAAAAAGATTATAAAATTGAAAAGCTAAAATAAAAATTGTTTCATTGATGTGGTTAATTGTATAAATCCTATGATATGTAAAGACTACTTTCCTTTAACTGAACTCTATATATAATATACTGTATATCGTAACAAAAAATAAAGCAATTCTTAAAGATTTACTTATAGTTCGTTAGTCATAACACATGGGAAGACACATAAGACTTACGTCTATTCCTCCCGAAGCAGAACAGTGGCGATCGTTCAGAGATTTTTTTGCTGCCATTTGTTGTAAATATAATTAAAAGGCATTATCATTACCACTAACTTGTAAGTGAAAGTCGTATGGATTATACCCGCAATCTGGCATTCATTCAAATAGATTTGTCCATCGGTTCCGCAAACGGGTTTTGGGAATTCCAGGCATGTCTTCGGACACCTTTCCAACGCTCGCCCCTCTGAAGCATTCAATTCACACATTAAATGGTTTAATAGAAACTAAATAATGAAAGTATTTTCCTAATAATTGACAATAACTCCTAAATATAGTACATTAATTGGAAAAAGATTAGAAAATTGAAATGCTCAAATAAAAATGGTTTCATTGATGTCGTTAATTGTATAAATCCTATGATATGTAAAGACTACTTTCGTAAAGACTACTTTCCTTTAACTGAACTCTATATATAATATACTGTATATCGTAACAAAAAATAAAGCAATTCTTAAAGATTTACTTATAGTTCGTTAGTCATAACACATGGAAAGACACATAAGACTTACGTCTGTTCCTCCCGAAGCAGAACAGTGGCGATCGTTCAGAGATTTTTTTGCTGCCATTTGTTGTAAATATAATTAAAAGGCATTATCATTACCACTAACTTGTAAGTGAAAGTCGTATGGATTATACCCGCAATTTCTCTTATGAAGAATGCATTTGTTTGGATAAAACTTTCCATCCTCTATGTGTCACACAATTGAAAAAATTTATTTCTCATATAAATGAACTAAATTTATAGACAAATAAGTTGCTGTAATACCAGCGCAAACCGGATCCTGGATGTCGAGGCAATCGGATGGACATAACGGATGTCTTCCCCTGCAGTGCTCCCAATCCGCTTGTGTTAGGCTTTGGATTCAATTGATATAAGAGTTGGAAATTGAGATGAATTTATTAGATTGGAGTCGAGTTAAGACTCTTATGATGCCAATCCTTACCTGCAGTTAAACTTTTTCATCAAACAAATCGATTCATAAGTGTTTCCATTTGAGGCACAAATCGTCTCAGAATTATTGGATTTATTAGTATTGCATTCGAGTGGACAGTCCTTATCATCTTTATATTTATTTTGAGTTTTATTTGTATTTTATTTAAAATTGAGTTGTAATGTCATGTTGGGACATAAAACATACCCTGGGCTATGAGATGAGATATAAGGCATGAAAGCAAAAATACCGTCGAAAATAGTATTTTATACAACATTTGCTTATATTTATGTTCTTTACTCTTATATTCTTAGGAATTCTTTTCAAATCAAATGCTTCTCATCTAATGAAATGAAACTAACAAAACGCTTCATTTCCCACTCAAATGCCTTGAAAGACACCAAATTTGGTCACAGAGTGCTGTATATGTAATGATTTTCTCAAACTTCTTTTGTTTCTTCTTTTATACATTTATATTAAAGTTTAATAAATGTATAAATGTTTGAAACACACTTAAATTGTTGAAAGCTTAAAGGTATGGTAATGAGAGATCAAAATACTTTATATTGATTGATAGGAATAGTAGGCGTGCTTACAAGTAATTATATAAAATACGATTCTTTGTATTATTATTAGTGTTAAAATGTTGAAACCATTGTATTTTATATGAATTTTATTTGACAAAATTATGTAAATTAATATCTATGCTAGAGAATCATTTTTATTCTATAATTAGCTAATTTTGCATAAAAATGTGTCCCAAATATTGAGCTCATTGTGTTTGTTTGAAATTTTATAATTTGATAAACAAATTAAAGGGAAAAACTACGAATATATAGTTCAGTAGAGATGCATTGAATTATTAGATTAAAAAGTATAAAAGTGTCGATAAAATTATTTTGATAAGCCATTGAAAAGTTATGCGGAAAATAAATTAATCGATGAAAGTTGTCGCCAGAGCTGGTAATTGAATAACTAATCCATGAATGTCTCGCAATTTAGTTATCAGTCAAAAGTGTGATATATTTCCAAATGAATTCACAAATTCACAGTTCAGAGATTTTGAGTCCACTTTTTTCTATTATTTTTATGGATAGCAGTGTATTATATGGAGTGAAGAATCACGACTTTTATCTCTAATACACAAAATAGATAAGAATATTCTCTTGAATTTCAAATGTCAAATACAATGCCTGAAAGCTTTCAAAAAATATTTCAATAAATGGATCCAAAACTCATAAACAAATAACAAATATCGCTGAGAGGTTCACAACCAGAGATATATTTTGGAATTCAATTTTTTATTTGGATTTTTTTAAACATCGAAAACAAAGAATAATTTTATGTACAGTAAAAAGATTGCATTATTTCGAAGTGATTGGCACTCCCTTTATAAATAGTGTTTGAACCTTGTTGGTACATAAATTGCTATTAAAGTATGAATTGATTGCATGTAATGACAAGTATTTAGTATCGAGTGTTGAGTTAATAAATAACTAATTCGTAAATATTAGTGAAATGTTGTGTTAAGAGGTATTTTGTGTCCAACTCTTTGTAAATATAATTCATTTACTTGTGATTCAGTCTGTTTCTCATCGACAGCACAACCCAAGTATTCAATTGAAATCTATGTTAGGGATGAGGGATGAGAGAGAGAGGGAGAGAGGGAGAGAGGGAGAGAGAGATGTTAGGGATGAGAGAGAGAGAGAGAGAGAGAGAGAGCACAGAGTGGGCGCCAATCGATATGATAGAGAAGAACGTGTGTCTGATGTGAGATCTAAATGCAGTTCAGTGTTCAGTGTAAGTGATGTTCACTGAAAAGTTATGAACTCCACGACCAGAATCTCCCAAATAATGGTTTAATATATAAAGATTTGAAACTTTTTCTTATATTTTATTCATCCCTTGAACCTCGTTATGAATGGAATAAATGATGAGAAAAATGTTTTTTATCAAAGCATTTGATTTAAGCAAGATCTTTTTAGTAAATTTGATTTTAATAAACTTAATCAAACATGTGTTGAGCGCCGGTGGAAGGGGTGGTGCGATCGCCACCAAAGGTATGCAACAAATTGTCTAAAATTGTAAAGAATTGCAAAATTGAATGATAAGAGCATTCGTGTCATCCATTGTAAGGCGGGTCCGGATTCCAAGGCCCACACAAGAGTGATCCCAATGACGACAGCGGATCCTTTTCGGTGATTCTTGTGGTCATCCTTCCCGTCGCCCAAATGATCGCAGTCCTCATTCTCATACTTATTATAAGGATTTGTTACCGAAAATACTGTTCACAAAATGAGCAAAACTCGCAACAAATAAAGAAACCAATTTATGGCAACGAAGGACTCAATCCGTCCATTCATTGCAATAAATTCTGATTCAATGAAAAACATTAAATAAATTGTGACATAAAAGCGAGAGCCAGAGTCACCGACACTATAATAAGTCATGGATTTTATGTCCATTGACGAGAATGGCATCAAATTTTTATTTTAGGCCAAAGATTTGGTGATTACATGGGAATAGCGATGCCTTTCATTCAATAGGTTTTGACGACCGATAAGACATTGATTAACGGTTTAGTTTTTCGTGAAAATTGTGTGTTTTGTTTGAAAGTATAGTCATCAGTACCAAACACAATGAAATCAGATCAGCAGTAATCAAGGTATTTATAAAGCAATTATTTATACTATATTATTTAAATAATAAAAACGCTTAATTAAAAAAGTTAAATTTAGTTATAACTTTTAAACTTGGAAAAATATATTTATTTATAAGAAATAAATTATGAATTCCTATTTATTAATATTCTGTAATAAATATTAAAGTTAATCTAAAAGCGAGATTTCCGATTTAATTAAGTATTTTTACTGTATAGCACAAAATTATGTTTACAGTATAAATAAAATTACTTGATATGATATGAGTTATATATTGGGTCCAATTGAATTATTTATTACATTCATTGAATGAGCAAATGATCGATTGGTCGTCTTTGGAGTCCAAAAGTGTGACAATTCAGACAATTCACGAAATTCTTGAGATTCAATATCTATGTATTTATGAAGAATTGGGAATTCTCCGTCAGATTTGTATTGAATCTGTGAGCTATACTTAAATCCCAAAACAACCCATAAACAAGTTTTCATACTTTAATGAATACAAAAAGTGCAAGAAATAGAGTTATATAATTATTGATCCAAATTCTTATACAACTTTATTGTATAAGATATGATAATTTGTAATTTATAAAATACTTTACATTAAAATGAAAATCAATGACTGCAATGTATTAATGTGTTAAAAAATTAGTGACACAATGGGTACAATAATGATTTCTATACTATTATACTGTTCAGTTCTCAATGTCTATGTTATTACTAGTATACCCTGTAATAATAATAATAATAATAACATCTTTATCTCAAATAACACCAATTATTAATACGACAATTTATTTATACAACCAAAAGAAATCGTCTTATTTTTTGGAGCAGTTGTTTCGCAAATAATAATTACTTTCGTCTAATTATTGACGTTTTAGTAGGACTTCAATACAAGCAATAATACTGATTGACTCAATTTGTTAACTCGCGGATTTAGTTGAAAGCAAAATGCAATCAAAACTTTGCTTTTTATTTGATTAGTATGGAGTCAAAATATTTATTTTTATCCAAATTAATTAACTGATTATATTTACAGTTAAAGTGAAAACTTACTGTAAAATGTATTGCAATTGAAGTGGAAGTCCGATGAGAATTTAAAATTCTTATTTTTTGCTAAATTAAATGTTGATTAAGTTTAAAAGTACTGTAAAAGTATAATATTATATAATATTTGTCCTTCAATTGAGAATAAGCGAGATTTATTGGTTTAAATCAATTACTTAATCATATAAAGTGTAAAATGAGAAGTTAGCCTACATTTGAATGATCTCTTGGTAAATGAATTTCAATTTATTATTTTTATACTTTTGTTTCAATGAGATTTTTTATTCATTGTATTTTATTTCAAATCTTTTTGAATGCATTAAGTTTTATGAATTCGTAAACAGATATATATTGTACTCTAAAATAGAAACCATTACTATATAACTCTTTAGCCTTACTTAATGTAGTTTTCAAGTAAACATTAGATAATAGATAAGACTTCTCAACAATAATAATGCGCTGAATGTAACCACTCTTTACATAAAATAAAGGCCGATATGTCTTAAGCTGTGATTCCGTTGTAAATACGATAACAAAACATTCAATGATTTATGAATCCTTTGAAAACTTGTTTGCAATCTATTCACTGAATTCTAAATGAATACAAAGTTTTAATGGAATCGAAATAATTGTCTAAATGAAATACTTAAATACATGTGTTGATCGGAATTTACTCAGCTCATATATTTTATACAACATGTTACAAAGTTATACAATTTTAATAATACAGTATATTCTTGAGTCAATTTAACAGAATTTCAATGGATTTTATAAAATTCTTATATTTTTTCACACTTAGTAAATGTATTGTTATTTAAGAGATTAATTTCAATATAAAATTTGTGAATATATTTCTAAAATTTTAAAATTCAGTTAACACAGCTTTTCATCGGATTTTATATTATATGTTAAACTGGTTAAAGGCATCAAAATTAAAATTGTAAATTATATTACAAACATTTTGAAAATAAAATTATAACAGTACTGTAAAGGTTACTTAGCATTTTAATAAAAATAACATTTTGAAATTAATTCCATATTAATATCACAGAATATTTATTATGTGAAGTAATAAACTCATTGAATATATCATTTTAAAATTTATTTTATTTTGGTTCTAATACTGCATACATAATACACTTAATTATTACAAAATATACT